GGGAAAAAATAACCCAACCCAAAACATTTGTGTATAATAAACTAAAATAAAAAAAAAAACAGGGCACCTGCATCACCGGAAGTTGTTATGCCGTCAGCAGTCTGCAATTGCGGCTTGCAATCAGAGCTGTTGCGCTATATCTTTTATTGTTATTATTATTCTCATTCAGAGTTTGTTTCAGATTGAACACTCAAAATTGTCCCTAGGTGTGAGTGTGAGCGCGCATGGTTGTTCGTCTCTGTTTGCCCTGCGATTGGCTGGCAACCGGTTCAGGGTGTCGCCCGCCTGCCCCCCGAAGACGGCTGGGATAGGCTGGGATAGGCTCCAGCACCCCCCACCCTTGTGAGGATAAGCGGATCGGAAAATGGATGGATGGATGGATGGATGGAGTTTGTTTCATGTACAATTCACCGAGGGCACTGGCAAAGAATGGGAATCTGGAGGGCCGAGAGAAGCATTTTTTTAAATGGGACACGTGAACAACGATCGTTAAAACACTGCAAAAGTGCCTCCGCGTCAGTTCTCGACGAAGGTAGGCGGTGATTTTCTTTTAACAAACCTACAAACTCTTGTGCCTACTGTATTTTTCTGTTTCGTTCATCTTTGGGGCTGTTATGGCTGTCCCTCATTATGGCATATGTGTGTAAGTGCGTGCGCGTGCGGTAACAGGTCGATCGCAGAAGGTTGGTTGATCGAAAAGTAGCTCTTCGGTCAAAAAAGGGAGGCCACCCCTGCTCTATAGAAAAGAGAAAATAATCAAAAGTAATCTGTAACAATTTTTTCCAATGATGACAGCCCAATTTAAGATTTTTTTTTTTTAAACAGAAAAAAATAATTTCCCACGATTGGTCTGTCAAAATCAACCCATGAATTAGAAAAGAAGCAGACATTTAAAAAAAAAAAACTTGAATCAGAATTTCCCCATGTAATTATGGATGAAGAAAGTGAGAAGATCTAATCATCCCCCTTCTCCTTAGTTAAGTTATTGAGCATTCACTTTTGAACAGAAGCAACACTGAAGAATCCACCAAAATAGAAAAGAGAAAATAATCAAAAGTAATCTGTAACAATTTTTTCCAATGATGACAGCCCAATTTAAGATTTTTTTTTTTAAACAGAAAAAAATAATTTCCCACGATTGGTCTGTCAAAATCAACCCATGAATTAGAAAAGAAGCAGACATTTAAAAAAAAAAAACTTGAATCAGAATTTCCCCATGTAATTATGGAAGAAGAAAGTGAGAAGATCTAATCATCCCCCTTTGCCTTTTTTCTTCTCCTTAGTTAAGTTATTGAGCATTCATTTTTGAACAGAAGCAACACTGAAGAATCCACCAAAAACACACCACCAAACCAGGGAAATAAATACAAGCAAACTGACGAGACGATGAGGCACACCTGAACAAGATGCAAGTGGCTGAGGGAGATGATTGGTAGACACGAAGGGCTGATGAGAACAGATGGACACAAAAACATCACGAGACGCCTTTTAACAAACCTACAAACTCTTGTGCCTACTTTATTTTTCTGTTTCGTTCATCCTAGGGGCTGTTATGGCTGTCACTCATTATGGCATATGTGGG